AAAAAAAAAGAAAAATATAGATTTACTTCAAAAAAAAAAAAAAATAAATAATAAATAACAAAAACATGTTATTTATTTATTTTACTAATTTACTTATTAATTTTTAATTCTTTAATTTTTTAATAAAATCTCCCAAAAAAGACATTTGATATTTTTTTTTATTTTTACTTTTTACAAAAGATAAAATTATTTTTCATAATCATATTTATCATTTCTCTTTCTTTTTTTTTTTTAAATATATCAATATTTTTCTTCTTTATTTATCATTAAAACTTGATTTAACGAATTATCTATTATTATTTATTTATCATTTAACGAATTATCTATTATCAATAAAATTTGTAAGTCAAATTCGATAAAAAAGCTTTTAATATTTTTTTTTTGAAATACTAATATATATTTTTTTTTATTCCTTCTCTCTCCACACATTAACCAGACCCTTAATATACATACTATTACCGAAAATCAATAACGAAAGCAACAAAAAAAAACAAAATGCCATACGCAGGACCAGCTGAAGACAAGTGGGCAACAATATCTTTAACTTTTAACAATAACAACAATAATAATAACAAGAGACAAACAAACATTTTGATAAATCATAATAAAATCAATGAAAATACTTCTTCCAGTTCTACCTCTACCGTTACAACTACCACGACTACCACATTCTCCACTACCATTAAAAATAACAATTCCAAAACCTTTCTTTTATCATCGTCTCTTCAAGACTACAACAGTAACAATATTACAATTTCTTCTTCATACAATGCTTCCAATATCGAAACCACTTCAAGACATAAATTTTCATCGTCTTTTCAACCAGAATTCTTAACAGCTTCTTCAAGACGTAAATCTGCTCCCGAGTTTTTAAAACCTTTACTAATCCCACAAAAAAATTTTCAACATGAAGATGATCAATTAATAATTATAAAAAAAAAAAATGGTGATATAGTTAAACCTTCCCTAAAGAAAAGATCAAAATCTGAGCCTAATACTCCAATACTACCAAAATATGTTCATTTCAACGCCGATTTTTTAGGCGAACCTTCCCATTGAAGTGATGGTGATGATAATGGCGCTGTTTCTGTTGTGACTGGCATACCATCAATGTAACAACTTCCTGAAGAAAATGATTTATAAGCATCACATGAAATTGCTGGAAAGTATGGTGTTTGATAACAATAATTAGTTCGTGTAAATGAAGAAATCGGTGATGATAATGTTGTTGCTGAATTATTATTAATTTTATTGATGTTTTTATTACTAATATTAGTATTATTAACGTTATTGTTATTGTTAAATGATGAGAATGAACGTGGGATATTTTGAGCTGCTGATAATGATACTCCAATATCATAACGGCCCGCAACTCCATTTTTTCTTGAATCAGCTATTGAAGTACGAGTGTTAGAATTTGGTGGCGAATGACAGTCATAACTTAAACTTTTTTTTGGAAGATGATTCACTGGTGTTGAAGGTATTATTGGCCATTTTCTTGATGATGATGAATTGGTAGCAATAGCAATAGGTAATGATCCTTGATTATTAATATTATTATTTTGATGACAATGGTGGTTACCCTGCGATGATGACGACGATTTCTTTACTTTTTTGAAATTTACTCGATAGTTTGAACCAGAATTGTTATCCCAATAGTCACGATTACTAACATTATAATGCACAGCAAAATACATCGTTTTTCCATCAATGGGATTTCTTGAATTGTCGAATAATTCTATCGAGAATATAAAAACATCGAAACTATCTTTGTCTTTTTCAGCTACACCTTCTGCATAGGTAGCTTTAACTTCTGATACAGTTTGCCAGAAATCAAAAGTGTATCTGACTTCAACCAGTTTATGGAAAGCGATGTTTTGCACCATTATACGACCTT